AAAAAAAAAAAAAAAAAATCTGTTGCTTCCCAATGATGAATGTAACTGTACTATATACCTAAAATGTACCAATAAACTCAATGAGAAAAAAAATATGTTGCTACTCTAGATAAACAAACCATTTCCTTCATTATAGTCATCATCTCTTAACTTACCTATGTGATTCTATTTTGTTTTTTGTTTACGGAGTTCTTTATCTGCTTTATTTCTGCTGCTACCATTTCAAATATTTTAGCTGGGAGGCTTTTGACTTCTCCCACCTCTATTCCCTCTGGACCTGCTTTTGAGTAAATTGAGTGTTGATTTTATTTCATTTATTTTTTGGTACTATGGGTAAAACTCGAGATCTTGTGCTTGCAACGCAGGCACAGTGCCACTGAGCTAAACCTCCTGCCCAAATTAAGTGTTTTAGATTGCATCTTTCTTCCATGTTTTCTCATTTTCTTTTTTTGGTGTCTGTGTGTGTGTGTGTGTGTGTATGCATGTGTGTGTGTGTTTATTTTTTCCATGTTGAAGCTTGTATGTTGCTTATAGTAGGTGATTTTTATTTCTAGTATGATGATCTCTAGATAATGACTAATTTTCAGAGCTGTCTTCTAGTCATAGCTGGCTTTTGGCCCTTGAATCTGTCCCCAGATCCTACCTCTTCTGTTTATTAGGGATGAAATATTGCAATATGTTTGGCCTAGCACCAAGTTCTTTGGTACTGGGTTCTTGTATTGTGTATAGCCCCCAGACAATCTAGGTATTGTCATACAAGGCACCTTGGCTAACTTAGTACAATCAGTAATAGCTACAGCATCAAACATGAACTGGAAAAATGATGAACTAATAAATAATAGTTTTAACCCCAAATATAAGATTTACAGTTACAAAACAAGATCTAAGATAAATCTGAAAATTATAGTAAATATCTCATCAATAGAGCAATTTAGGGCTTTCACCATAAAGCAATATTAAGCCCCTGTAAGATATAATTAATTATCAAAGATTCATAAGTATAAGTTTTACAGGGGTGGCAGTATAAAGAAAAAAGAGGAGAATAGATTATGAAAAATAAAGCCATGGTAGATGTGAAGAATATGGTAAGATTGACGTAGAAGGTTCTGTTAAGATAACGGTTACAGAAATGACCACCTATAAGAAGGATTAATAATAGGGAGTGGAGATTGAATTAGAGGAAAAAAATATACTAAGGGAACTAGTTGAAAGAAAAATGGTGACAAGAAGGGAGAGAGAGAGAGAGAGAGTAAAAGAAGAGCCTATTGAAACAAGTAAATAAAAGTAATATTAAAAGAGAGGCAAGAAATTGATGGTAAAATTCCAACCTCCACCAAAAGAAAAAAGAATAGTGAAAAATTAAAAAGTGTGCTGATACTAGTGAAAAAACATTCCTATGCATTCCCAGATGAGTGTTTCCTTCCAGGGTCAGTAGTCTTTAGTCTTACAAATCACCTTTCTGCTTGCATCTCTTTATAGTCTGAGTGTCTATATGTTGGGTACTCAGTTTAAGGAGGCCTCTCTCTGTAGTCCTCTGTGGCAGCTGTTCAAGCTGGATAACTAGATCAGGGAGGGGCCTTGTTTCTGAGGCTGTTCTTGTGGATTCCTTCTATGAGACAGACTAATATGGACTTTCAAAACTGACTCAGTCTTGTGGTTGCTCAGAAGAAAAACAAATCTGCCCAGGACTAATGTAGGCAGATTTCTTTAAGCCCAGTGAGGGCACAGAGTGCTGGGGGGTGTTTTGTGGGTGTCTGAAGTACTCAGCAGAATATACAGCCATGAATCCTTGCTGCTTAACCAGGCTGAAGATTATCCTATTGTGTTAGGCAGGGACTGTGTCCAGAACTCTGGCTGAATGCAGGGTGAGTGCTTGGAACACTGATTGTTTCCCGGGACTGGTTGTACATGTTAGGGCAGTGAGAGTTTGGTGTAGGCTCAAGCTAACCTGGGGGTGTGCTGAATACTGAAACCAGACCAGTTAGCTCTGTGTGGCAGATGAATGTCCTAAATGCTTGGGATAAACTGCAGGCTCCTAGGGATGTCTCAGGTGCACTCAGGACCCAATATGCAAGACTCCCAACACAGTCTGTGGCTGCTTGTTTATCAGCTCAGAGTCTTAGAAAGAATGGGTGGATGGAGGAAAGGAGCAGCTCCGTGGTCACTCACCCCAGATGTGTGCTGGCACAGAGTGCTAACAGGCTACAGTGTCCTCTTTTGGGAAAAGGGACTATGAGGCCAGGGACTCATTTACCAAAGTCTATCCTGGTGGCTTAACACTACAGTGCTACTTGGATCTGGCCAGCTATTTGAGAACTTCTCACAGTGGCACTTCCTGTGTTGAGTACAAGGTCCCCAGGAAGTCCTGTTGAATTGCTTTGTCTCTTTTAAATTCCTACCCATGTGTTTTGTTTGATCTACAAATATTTTCTTTCAAATTGATTTTTTGTATCAGGTAGTATATTCCTCCCCCTGTTCCAATTACCTGTGTTTTTAGTTGATCTCTGAGTCCCTCTGAAGAAATTATTTCAGCCATATTGGATCCCCCTACTATATTATGTGTTCTTTAATACATTCACTCAATTAAACTCTTATATCCAAAAATTCTTTATTTTTTGAGTATCAAATATGGACAAGGAAAACTAATCAGAACAAATAATATAGCAAGTCCAAAGTATATGAGATTTGTGTGAAGCCCCATGAAATTGGCATGTGCAATGACTTAAAGTTCATAACATAAATGACAGCATTCTTCAAACACCCTGGAATTCAAAGCACTTATTTGCACTGGATCTTATCAGTCACATCAGGGTGGTTTTTACATCCTTCCTGTACCAGAGCAGTCCTTCCTTTTTCTGGATCAGTCTTTCCTGCAGAATTGAGGACATTGGTTAGACAACCATCTTGCACTCCTGACCTATTGTGCTTACCCCAGCTGTTATTCCTCACCTGTGATTTTGGCCTTGACTGGAAATTGCTCTTTTATTGCATTTCTTTCATCCTTTGGTCTGATTTTCCTACATTATTTCCTTATTTTCTTAGTCATTCACACTCCTTTGGAAACAGATAAAATAGCTTTAAATGGAGAACAAGCAAGTGTCAAATTTTGTTTTAAAAAAAAGGATTTAATTTTTTATTATATTTGAGCACCTCAAAATGCAAAAATTTAATTTGGTTTCATAAATATATGAATTAATGCTGTATTGGAGTGAGAATTTTTTGGAATTTAAAAAAATACTAAATCATGAACTTCGTAATTTTTAAAATCCAACTTTGTATTGGCACTTAGATCAAGATATAAGAAACTTGAAAATTATGAAGATGATCTGTAATTATTAACTTCATTAATAATTTTTTCCTGAAATAACTAATCACGGATATGTTTGGCAGTTTTGCTTATTTATCCTTACCAAATATGTGAAAGTGGAACACTGTAATTTTCTTCAGAACCATGAGTAATGTTCAGCGGTTCTAACTCTTTTGAGTTAATAGGGAGGCTTAGGGAAGAGGATCACACGTTTGAGCCCAGCCTCAGCAACTTAACAACTTAATAAGATCCTGTCTCAATTTTTTAAAAATGGAACTAATACAAAGATTAATGTCATTCATTTTGCTGTCATTTATTTGCTTATGTGCTTAATTTGCCCTTGTTAATGTGGATCATGGAGTAAGGCCAGTTCTTAAGTGTCTGAGTTCATTTTCTTCATTGAAGCTCATCAAGGCTCCAAAACAAGAGATGTAAAAGTTCAGTAATATAAATAACTTCTAAAAATAGACTCACATGAAGTATTATATGAAAAAGGCCTTTTAAAATTCCCAAATATCTTTTTCTTTTCTCCAAAGTTATTCCCCTTAGAACATCCCTGCTTGGCCTTGCCTTACCTGCTATCCCCTCCAGTGGCCTGCAGGGACCCTGCTGTCTGTCCACATCCTCCCTTGGTTGTGACTCCACTCTTCTCTCTCACCTGTTCACAGAGCCCGGAGTCTGCACCGTGTTTGGAGACCCTCACTACAACACTTTTGATGGCCGGACCTTTAACTTTCAGGGCACATGTCAGTATGTGTTGACCAGAGACTGCTCCTCCCCTGCCTCATCCTTCCAGGTGCTGGTGAAGAATGATGCCCGGCGGACACACTCCTTCTCTTGGACCAAGTCGGTGCAGTTAGTCCTGGGCTCAGGCACCATCAGCCTGGAGCAGCACCTGGCTGTGCGATGGAATGGCTCCCGTGTGGCCCTGCCCTGCCGCGGGCCCTACTTCCATGTGGACCTGGATGGCTACCTGTTGAAGGTGACCACTAGAGCAGGTGGGCCCCCCCGGGCATCCCCCCCTGCCCTTGCAGGGCTGTCTCCTTCCAGCCAGAGATGCCACCAGGGGACAGGGGTCACTGCATGGAAACTGGCAATGTGAAGCTGGCCACAGTGGCCCTGCAATCTTCAGACATCCAGAAACTTATCATCCTCATTCTAAAAATAGTAGCTGTGCTCTTCAAATAACCTCTTTCTTCAATTTTGTTGCTACTTTAGGTCATTGATGTCTAGTTTGGAATTGTCAGGGTCACTCTTAGTTCAGCTAGTTATGTGTAGTTTCACATCTGGAGAGGTAACAGAGTTTCCTTGTTAACATCTGGGCCCAAACATGAGGTGTCCTCAAAAGCAAACAGCTCAGTGTTGGTGGTGTTCTGAAGATACATGAAGTTGGCTATGGTGGTACTCACCTGTAACCTCAGCACTCTGGGAAGCTAAAGTGTGAAGATTGTAAGGTTGATTGTCCAGCCTGAGCAACTTAGCAAGACCTGTCTCAAATTTTTTAAAAGGGCAGGGGATATAGTTCAGTGTAAAAGCCTTGAGTTCTATCACTAGTATGTGGTGGATGGAGGAATCAGAAATGTTCACATCAGAAGGGCTTGTTCTTATTGCCTCTGCCTGCACTGGGTCACCTAATCTAGCTTATTTGTCCTGTGCTAAGGAGGAAGAGGCTGCCACTTATGGGTGTGAAGGTGGGGAGGTAGAACATGTGTGACTGGAAGTCCTATCTACCCTAGACACAGGCCAAGAAAGCTATCACCCCAATGACCAGAACAACTGTCTTCTGCTGTGCTCACTGAGGCTGGCTTTGAAAGTGCATCCCTCCATGGGGCCTTGGGCAAGTGGAGCTCCTAGCACATGCTGTTGCATCCTGCATTTCAACCCTTAGGGACTGCCAGGCTTGTCCATAGCTGCTAGCCTTCCATGAGGCTCAGGTCTTTCTCTGCTAAGGCTACCTAAAAACATTTCAGAAGCAGAAATGTTCCTGGTTGTCAGCCCCAGAGACAGAGTCCTTCTCATCTTCATACTTTAGGAAACCATGTTACAGTTCTGTGTGGGCCACCTGTTGTCCACCCATTACTGGTTGGATATTGCACTGTGTGTTCTATTGGTGGCTGCTTTTCTTAAGTGTCATGATACTGTAAGGAAATCAGCCTACTGACTGCTTTCTTATAGATGAGAATTTGGCAGCATGAAAGCATCAAATTGAGTACGATTTCCCTAGAATATAGTCACAAGGGTAATTGTTTGATAGAGCAGACATTTTTGAGGGTTCATGGAAGCTGTTTCTGCTGTAATTTCAGAAGCCTGCTAATTGTTTCAATTCAAGCCAAAATATATTTTGATAAATTCACTACAGTCCTTGATATTCCCACTTATTAAAGAAAGGCACGAAGCCAAGCACAGCCCTGGAAGCTTTTAGTTAGCAAGTACATCCACATTTCACTGAAACAATGTAAAATGTTAATGTATATAAAAATTCAGCTCGAGGGGAAATCTCCATTCTTCATGTCTCAGATATATAGAACTCATCTCATGGACTCTAGAGGGATTAGGCCTTTTCAGAAAATTCAGACACCTGTTCTTCTGTCCAGAGGACATGTACCCTGCAAATGTAGGCCTTGTCTCATTCCGTTAAAGCAGGCAGCACTTTCCAGCTCCCTGCAAAACATGCCTAAGATGACCTGCTGTTACATGACATTAATTAGAAGCACCTTACCTTTCTGTTTGCAAACCAGACCAACACAGTGGATTCTGGCAATACAGAAATGATTAAGCACAGCCCAGTTCTCCACTCTGTCCTGGTTCCCTCAAGATTACAGTACTAAAAGCCCAGAAAGTTCAATGATGTTCCATGCACAACTGGCAAAGCCTCATGGAATAAGCCTGTTCTTTGCAAGTATTCCATATTGTAAAACTAAGCAAAAGGGCAAGGCTGCTAAGCAAATAATAATGAATCACAGATATTATAATCAGATTAGTGAATTTAACTACTCTAGTATTATAATAAAGTTTTGTAACTTCTTTTATTTTTCCATCTCTCTTTCCATGATGCAAGTAATTTTATGATACCCTCCACACTCAACTGGACAGTGCACACAGGTCACACAAGCCTTCTGCTTCTTGGGAGGAGCTTTGTTCTGGGCACTCTGCTTACTCTGTGTTCATCCCTTGAGTAAAACAACTTGATTTCCAGACAATTACACTTCTACCCTTGTTTGGCCATCTCTGTTTCTGCCCCCTAAGGTTGTCTTCTTTTTATCATCTATCAGTTGTCTTAAAATATCACAGCATTTCCTAAAAGGTTTCTCCTCCATAGATTCCCTGTTTTGTTTCCTAAGTGTGTTTGCTCAAAGGGGAATGTCCTCAAAATAGTGACTTCAAAACAGCCTACAGTTGGAAAAGAGGAGGCAAAGGAAGGGGTCCTTACTCAGTGGTTGATAGACTCAGCCTTCAGGATGGAATTAATCTGGTAGAGCTGGGCAGAGGTGGTCATGTAGTTTGTGTGGAATTATGCCCTACTGCTTATCCCCCAACAACTGGCAGAGGACAAGGCTTAGACTTAGCATTGGCCACCTCACAACACACTGGCCCCAGCTCTCAGGACTTAGCAAATTATTTTTAAAAATACCTCCTTTCTGCATTGTGTGTACCTCATCAACTCTAAGAAAGTCTTACATCAGATCACCTGAAGGCATTGGCTTATGAGCAACATGGGTTTTACTTTTATTTTTGGTGGAACACTATACTGGAACCCAGAGAATAAATCCTCCACCCATTGTGATATGAAACACAATCAGGAACACTACTCAGTTTTACATATCACTGTGGTACATCTTCAGGTTTTGCACCTCCTTTCCCCTTTAAGTGAGCACCAACAAAACCATCAGTAATCAGAAAGCAAAGCAAAGAAATAAACAGACAAACAAAACATTACAAAATACAAGAACAGCCACACAACACTACCAACATCAAACTAGACTAGTGGTCTGCAGCCAGGTCATACATTTGAAGAATGAAGAACAAGTTGACAAAACATTCACCGGCAAGAAGGGAAAATAGGAAGTTCTCTCCTAAAGCATGAGGAATGTGGCTGCTGCTCACATCCTCTGAAGGGGCATAGGCTTCAGCTTTAGCCTTCTGCCTCTGCCAGTTGTTTCTACCAAGTTTCCCATGCTGAACATTGGAAAACGAAGCCCACCTGTGGAAAGGACTATGGTTAACCCCTCAAACACTTCCACAATGCATCCCTCTCATAAGATGCCAATTTAAAATATCATTTGGAAAAGTAAGTCCCTCGATTACAGCTTAGTAGTTTTTCTGTTCTTGTTGTTGTTCTTTGTTTTGCCTTCATGACTGTAACTACTTTGCATGGATTTTACTCCCAGAGAGGGTAAAGGTATTCATATAAACACATATATAAATGGTACAGCAATAGACAAAGGCACTAGAATAGAACAAATCATCTCTCCCCTATACAAAGCCTAGCATCAGTCTGTGAAAATCCTCTTGGTTTAATAACAAAGAAAAAAGGGGAAAGGAGAGTGATGATAATTTGTAAATTATTTTCTTACTCTGAGGACCATGTCTTGTGATGAGATGTTATGGGCTTTGAGAAGAGTTTGTTGAAAACAGAGGACTACTTGTCCACTGTGAAGAAAGAACACACCAATCAGCCAAATTCCCATGAACTCAGGGACCCCAAAGCTCACATTTATTATGTTACTGTCAGTCATGACACAGGTGCTCCTTTGGGGGTAAATTCTCAACTCTATTTTTCTTGGAAGAACAGTATTTGCTCGTTGTCTAGGAAAAAGATTTGTAGTTTGGAAATTTTACAACATGGAAAATCTTTGGGATTATGCTCTAAAAGTTGGATTTCATATGAAACTAATTTTATCCTCTTGTTTCTTTTGCTTGTAGCTACCTGACTACAGGCTCCTCAGGCCAAGTTTCTTCTCTAACTTGGAGAACATATTATAATCCATATTGTATAGTTTGCTTGTCTCCTTTAGAATGATTGTCTAACTAGCAAAAACATCATGTTTACTTGGGTTTAAAAGATCTGATGCATCAACATTGCAAGTGGAATTCATTTAGTTATTGATTCCATACCATGTGCTGGATGATGATGATAGGTAGGAGGATATGGAAATAATTTGCATTCCCGTTGTAATTATCAGAATTGACAACAATCTCTCACAGAAGACCCACAGGATATTGTAGTAATCTGGCTCTTTTCTCCTTACCTGTCCCCATAACTGTCTTCTCTTCATCTATTTACTCCCAGAAGAGACATTTCTATGCACTTCTTATTTCTTACTTTCCAAATCTGTTCAATGTCTTTTTCTGAATCCAACCTCTTCTTCCAACCAAGACATCTTCTCCACCATTTTCTTTAGATTTGGAATGCTTTGGCTTCTTCCATTTGCAATACAGGGATTTCCCTGTAGGTTTTACTGCTACTTTCTCAAAAGCCCCAGTTTTAAGTCTCCGGGTTTCCCTTCTAATAGACCACCCTGAAATAACCTTGTTTTATATGCTTGTGTGGCCATCTTGCCACAAGGCCATGTGGCCAGCCTTCTAGCCCCTCAAATTGGTTCAGACTTGGAGAGTATCATGTTGGTACTTCCTCCTGATCTTACATCACTTGATGTCTTGCCTTGTGCCAGTCATATCCTGATGAGATCCATTGTTTTATCTTTCACTGTCCCTCTCTCTCTCTGTTCCTCTTCCCCTCCACTCCTGACTCTATTTCTCCTGTCTCACTGATGCCTTGTCCCCAACTTCTGAACATTTGCTTATCAGCTTAATCTTAGTCTTTTAGGAGCAAGGACAAAGAAAGCATTCCGGGAGATAGCAATTTTCTTTCTTTTTTTCTTTTTTTTTTTTTTTTTTTAAAGGCTCAGGCCTTCCTTTATTTTCAGGAGGATGAGAGAGTAAGATTTTAAAATCACAAGGAGGGAAAGACTATAATTAAAAAGAGTTTTTCTCTGTGGTCACCTCATAGATGGCAGTGACTGACAGGGGCTATGGAGAAGTCCCAGGGTGGAAAGGTTTATTGCTCTGCTGTGGGTGCCCTGTGACATTCATACATGGAATGCTTTGTGTGTGCTGGTGCACAGTTCACCCACTGCCTGGGTGCTGGGCGTAATACTGCAGCATATCCCAGGAGGACAGTAAGAAAAGGTTCCCATACACAGTTAACACATAGAAAACTAGAGGAATTGTAGTTTGCTTTGTGTTAAACCTCAAGGCTTTGCACCAAGTTCTCCCCTGCTCTTGTGCGGTGTCCTCTCATACTTTAGTAGAATAGATCTGAGAGGTTCTTCCTGACCTCTAGTCCGATGGCCTGTACCATGTAGCAGCATAGTCTCACTGTCCTCCATGTGACAGAGAAGTAGCACTGTATAGAGAGCTTGTTGGCTTACATGGTTCCTGGACTTCCTGGAGGAGGAGTGTACACATGTTCAGAACAGCCCTCTCTGACTTTAAAGTCAGTTTAGCAAGACAAGAAGGATCTGTGCTACCTCTTTCCTGGAGCAAAAAAAAAAAAGAGTGTCCTTGATGACCAAAGCAGAACTGGCTGGATGATGAGGATAAGAAAACTTCTGTCCATTGATTTGGGCCTCCAAGCCACCTTAAAAGAGCACACCAGGGTTGGAATCCTGGGATGAGAAGAGGAAGGTGTCCCAACAATTCAACCCCTGGAAACTAGGGTCAGTGGTTTGTTTCAGGAATAACCATAAAATCATGTAGGAGCAAACATTCCATTTATATGAGCGTTGGCCTTTGTAGACGATGTCTTCAGAAGCTTTATTCATATGTTCATCACTTTTATATTCTTATTATACCAAATTATTTGGTAATTTGGAATCCTTTAGCATTTGGAAGAATAATTACATGAGGAAATTTTTGGATAAAGAAGTAAAAATAACATTTAAAAATGTTATCTTGGGCTGGAGATTTAGCTCAGTGGTTCTGCTGCCTGCTTTGCAAGCACAAGGATGTGAGTTCAATCCCCAGTACCAAAAAAAAAAAAAAAATCCTACAAAAAAACAAATAAGCAACCCCCCCCAAATGCTATCTTTATTTTAAAATAGTCATTGGATAAATGAAGTTATAGTTTGAACTAATAAAAATACTTTAAATAGGGGCAAAAAATATAAACCATGGAGTAATATGATCAGTCTAAGAGTAGTTATTAGAGATCAAAATAGGAACACATAAGATATTATAAAGGCAAATTTTATAGTTTAAAATCCTAAGTTCCACAAGTGATGATCTGTATAATTTTTAGTGTGGTAAGATTAGTGTGCTAGCTGAGAATTTGGATAGAACTGTTGTGTTCTTGTTACAGGATGATGGCCACATATAGTTTATAAAGATGTGTACATTTGGGGATTATTAGGGGATCCAGGAATGCTTGATCCTGCTTTCCTCTCTTCTCTAGGTTTGGAAATATCTTGGGATGGAGACAGCTTTGTAGAGGTCATGGCTGCCCCTCATCTCAAGGGCAAGCTGTGTGGTCTTTGTGGCAACTATAATGGACATAAACGTGATGACTTAATTGGTAGAGATGGAAGCTTTAAGTTCAGTGTGGATGACTTTGCTGAGTCTTGGAGGGTGGAGTCCAATGAATTCTGCAGCCAACCATGGAGGAGACCAGTACCTGAACTGTGCCGTGGGACAGTGAGGGTGAAGCTGCGAGCCCATCGAGAGTGCCAGAAGATCAAGTCCTGGGAGTTTCAGACCTGCCACTCCACGGTGGACTATGTCACGTTCTACAGGTAACCTCTATTTTCTGGGGATGAGTGGGTCACAGACCAAAGGTAGATGACCTGGTGGCAGAATATTAAATCTCTGGCCTTGTAAACAAGGGTCCACAGTGAACAATCCTACTCCATTATATCTAGCCACTGATTCTGTCCTGATTCTGCCCCATGTCATGTTCCCAGTTAAGAAATTCCAGGAAGTGTTCCAAGGTGGTCTTCTCTAGGCAATTATGTATTTTGCAGTATCTTCAGTTTTCCTGGGTAACTGATGACTCTCTAGAGGTTTTTTCCAGGATTTTTAGCTTTACTGTTAAGATTGGGAATGTCTTCCCAAATTCCAGCTCAAATCACAGAGGTCTAGGATAGAGTGGCTTGCTAAAATGAAGTCTTTAATCACCTTGGCTCCTATGGGTGTTTGTGTGAGCCCAGTTTTTTTCCAAGCAAAGAAACATCCCAGATTAGCCTGCTGGTCTACCCCAGACCCAACTGGATGTAGTAAATAGGGAATCAAAGTGAGGAGTCCTTAGTTCTTGGCCAGCATCCACTTTGTTTATAGAATCAGAGGACTTTGGAAAAGGGCTTAAATTGGAGGAAATTATTCCATGGCCTTTTTCTAATTCCATTTAACCCACTTCCACATAAAGCCACATGCCAGGTAGGAGGCCTGGATCTGACTTCCATGCTATGAGGCTGTGCTTGTGGTTTATGACTCTTGCCCAGCTGTGTGCTTCCATTTACTAGACAATCTTGTGACCTCAAGAGCTATGGCTGCTGATAGGTATAACCACAGTGTGTATATGAGAAGTAAGAAGCATGAGCTCACCGCAGCCCAGAAGCCCTTATTTAAGTGATTTCCTTATGCCTCTTAAAATTAGGAAACTGCTGTTGTCTGCAGACACAGAGAGGCTATTTTGCTTTTTAATTGCCACCACTTGATTTATCCCCCCTGCAGCTCTCATTAAATGTGCTATTTCTTTTATTATATCTTTGGACATAAGAAGACAAAGTTTTATAAAGGTAGCTCCAAGTGGGCTAGAAAAAGGAGTGTCTCTGTCATTGCAGATCCCTGAGGATGGTTGTATCTGCCAGACTACTGGGCCCCAAATCATTCGGCCCTAAGCTCCTTCAAGCTATTTTTATGTTATAATTTGAATTCTCTGGGTTCCTTTCTTTCTCTTTCTGATACAAACCCCCAGATTGGCCCTACTCTTTTTGTATTGCAATTGAGAGATTTGTTAAACATTTTTTTAATTATTAGTGTAGCTTTAGAATTCATAGTTTCTGTTCATGCTAGGAAATTGATACATGTATAGAACATGTCTTGAGCATTTTCAGTCCCTTAATATTAGATTGGGTTCAGCACTTGGTCAACCAAGGCATCATTAGGAATCTAACACATTCACTTGAAATTTTCTGGGAAGCAGCAGAACATGATAATTTAAGAGTTTTGTTGAATTGGTGTGGTGATGCATGCCTGTAATCCTAGCACTGGGGAGGTTGAAGCAGGAATATCACAAGTTCAAGACCATTATAGATTATATAGAAAGTTCAAGGCTTGTCTGTACTATGGAGGGAGACCATGTCTCAAAGCTTTCCAGTCTCCCAGGGCTCAACACCCACCTAGGACATGGAACCTTGGACAAGTATCTAAACTCTCTCAACCTCAGTGAGCCTGTCTGTGAGTGGGGATAACCAGTATCTGCCTTTCAGTGCTGCTGTCTTTTAGATTCAGTGAGGTTATTGTTGGTGCTGGTACTGTCATTTCTTTCACTATCAATAGCTGATCAAACAGAATGAGACCACTTTGGGAAGCACCCTCAAATTTCTAGTGAAGACTTGCATTGGACTCTTCTCTGCTCAAAGCAGAATAGAAAGGAAGTGCCTACCCTTTTTGGTTTATATTCTTTCAAAGGGTTATATTGAGAAATAAACTGGAGAGCAAGCTTCAGGGATGAGCACCTTTCTCTAAATTGCTATTTCTACTGCCTTTGGTGAACTAATTAGCGTTATGATCCCCACATTACAGCATGAATGTTATGAGGGCCTTGGAAGAAGACATGAGAATGATGTAATTAATGAAGAAAAGAGATTAGAATCCTCCAGTCACCTTTGATCTTTTCTGGCCTTCATACAGGAGTACAGTGGAGGTCATTTATTTGGTCAGGGGCTTGACACCTCATTGTGGGCTCATGTGATCTCTGTGAGGGGAGCCTGAAGATGTCATGTGCAGGGGGTTTGGCTTGTGCACTGCTTATTGTGGCCTGTGTGTGATGGCAGAGGACCCTTCTGCCACCTGCCACTATTCCCTGGAAAGGATTGTGGTGTGGGTACTCAAGAGGGAGCACGTGATGGTTCTGCCTGCCCATGTCTCTGCTGGATTTTTCAACTTGGGCATCAGAAGGGAGGTGGTTTGTGTCTGCGTCTATGGGTGGGTGTTTCTCATCTTCTAGCACATGTGTGGCAGGAGAAGCAAATTAACAAGGTGCAGTACAGAACAGCCATTCTCTTCTTAGGGCACACAAGGAATGACCAGATCTAAGGGTTTCCAATGAGATTGTGAAGCTGGGGGAGAGGAGGGAAGGAGAGCCAAGATGGGTCCATCTCTGCTCTGCCAATTTCTAGTTCTGTGACCCTGGCAGCCACTGAGTTTCAGATCCTTTGGTCTGGCATAGCTGACAGGTAGGGCTGTTACTTTGAGAATGGGTTGGTACTAGTGTGGGGTAGATAGAGATGATTTCCAAGTACCACCTGCCCTTGTTCCCACCTTTCTATGAGGACTATAGGAAGTGTGTTCCCCATGTGGGAGTTATCTTTTTAATGATTAGCATCTCCCCTCTATAGGAAGTGTGTTCCCCATGTGGGAGTTATCTTTTTAATGATTAGCATCTCCCCTCTCATTGGGAGAACTGATGTAAGATTCCCAGTAATGAGGCTTTAAAACAACTGCATGCTGACATGGCTCTCTCTTATGACACTGAATGATTTAGGGCCAATAAAGATTGCATTGCAATTTTTCTTTTTTTAAAGAATAAAGAGAAAGAAGTAATCATATGACATCACATGTATATAATTTTTGCCTGCATATTCTAAATTATTGGTGGGATTTCCAAATGAACCTGAAAATATGATCAGGAAAATAGCTGTGATATGTTATACATACATCACTGGACTAGTGCTGCCTTGATGTCATGAATGTCACATACATAAGTTGTTGTGGAATTTGATTCCTGTTATTTTCCCCTCATTATCCAGAGAAACATTTGTAATGACCTTTAACGACAAAGAATAAAGTAGTGAAACACACACACACACACACACACACACACACACAACCTTCCAATCCCCACATTAATCACAACTGGAAAAGGAAAAGAGGAAAGGAACGATTCTGAGGGAAAGCTGTTGTTAAGCACACACCACCTTCTCCAAGCAGATTGTATCATGGCTATGAGATAGTGCTTTTCATAAGATGGAAGTAATAATCCTGATTTCTCCAAGTTAGAGTTTACTTTTGAAATGCCTAGGACTTTTAACTCTCACTTTATTTTGGTCTTTTACCTCACTCAACATTTTAAATAGTAAAATATCCACTGTCAGTTACTTTAAAAACTCTCACTTTGTAAATGAATAAGAGACAATAATTATTTTGGCTTTTTAAGGAAAATTTTTAAGTGGTTCTACTTGTTTACTCACATATCAGTTTGACCCTTCTTGGCTAATTTGATATAAAACTTTGATATATGATCAAGTTCTTCAGAATCATAATAATTTGCTTTAATGAATCAACCAAGTATATTTGAATGCAAAACCATTTGATGATAAATCAGGTAAAATTCTAAATCTACATTTTGATAGTGTGTCCTAAGCCTTAGCTTTGCTAGACAATTTTTCCTCATGTTAAATGGCCTCCTTTAACAGTATCTGCAAGATTCTTCCCTGGTATTTGAGGAGAAATTCCCAGAAGATGACAGGGTGGTGTACTGTGGAGAAATGGACCTTGGTCACTGCGCTCTGTCTGGGTTCATGGCTGGCTTCTCTCTACTCATTTATCTCCTTTCTCTTTTGCATCTCTTCTTTCAGCCTGAGATTGCTTCTCCTTTGTGTACAAGAGGCCAGCTGAAAAATCTGAGAGCCCCACCAGCACCACAGAAGGTGCCCCAAGAACTCTAGCTGTCAGTGTCCACTCACCATCCTGTTCACCCACTTGGGCTTGGGCTCTAGAGAAACTCGGTTTGGGCAGCCAGCGTGGAGGCCAGGGGGATGGGCTGGCACTGTGTGAGAAAATCAGGCAAAGAAGAGACACCTGTCCCTGTACCCATGATGCCTCAGCAGGAACCTTTCCCTGAACTCAGACCCATATCTTGGATGACATACAAGGGATGATTAAATTATACAGTGAATATTTAAATTAGATATATTATACTAAAAGAAATATTTCCAGTCATCCTCCTCAAATTATCCCTCACCCACGCTTGACGCAGTTAATTCATCATTCTTGGCACTTCCTGAAGCAGTTCTGGAAGTCCTCATTCCTGAGTGTCATTATACGGTAAGATGAATACAGTGAATGCGCCTGCTTAGTTCCATCCAACAGAAAGGCTTGTGGAGACATAATGATGTGTCCTCATTTACCTTATTCCCTGGATCTGGCACCATGTAGCCTCTACCTTTCTCTAAATTTAAAATGACTACGAAAAGGAAACATTTTTAATCCGTTTTATACACTGAGGCACCCACAACAGAACAGCTAAAGACACTCATGAAAGAAGATTTGGAGAAAGTGGCAAGAACACTGGGATAAGTGGGTTCAAAGTAAGAGGGAGTATCTCGAGGGACATTCCTGGCAATTTGTCTTTCACTGTAGTTTTTTAAAAAAATTAAACACCATTTTTTAATCACACCTCACACTTGTACACGAGCCCCACCTACTGGCACAGAAGCAGGATGCTCAGGGCAGCTGCATTTCAGAGAAGCCAGGAAAAGGAGGGTGACCCCTGGAAGCTCACACAGGTTCA